TGCATTTCTAAGAAGCTCCAGCTGATTTCTGCTAGTCCCCAGACCACACTTTGAAAAAACAGGATTTTAGAATATGTTTATGTAAAAATCCCAAGTTTAAACATTCTGAAATTGGAGTGTGAGGGTGAAATTAAATGTGCTGGCATTTCTAAGGACAGCTGAGTGAGTGGTTTTGTTCCTTCTTAAAACATTAAACAGTTTGCGTTCTCCGTGGCCCTTTATTACTCTTGTAGTAGCAAACTAATGAACAGCTTATACTTGAATTTGTTGAGAATGGAGGTTATATTTTATTTCCAGGCTTCATACTCCTGGAGCCTGGCAAATTCCCAGGCATCTGTAGATGGCCAGTTAGTGAGTTGAATTGGATCAAATTGAATTGATTGAGCTTCATTAGAACAATATAGGGATGGCCTCATTTGGTACCTTTAAAACCACTTGTTTCCTCTTTAAGAGATTTATATTGCTTTCTGTACAGATTAAAAATTCTGTCAGTAATTTGTAACTGACCCATATCTAGAGTCACATTCTTTTTCAAATTATATTCTCTTAGAATGCAATATGAAAAAAAAAATACAAGTTAAAGGTAGTGCACTAGATTCTAGAAGTCTAGAGCCGTTTTATATTCCTATGAATACTAAGCAAAATTCTATCTCTAGTTAAAGGTCTTTGGCAATCATTTCTCGTTTAAAAATTTTATTCTAGAGATAGGGAAGGCATTCCTGGACTATTTTGGCAGATCCAAACCTGTTCTCAGTTCTGAAACAGTACAGGGTATTGTCCTCAGTAAATGATACAAGTATCAAAATATTACAGTTACTATGTTTGCATCATAGAAGGATTTCAGTAAATCGCTGTGTCACTCTCAGTACGCATGAACGAACTTGAATGCTGTTTTATCATTTCCTTTCAGTGTTTGATTTTGCTTTTATTTTTTAATAGCTTTATTGGGATATTAGTCACATACCATACAGTTCACTCATTAAAAATCCACAATTGGCTTTTATCATATTCACAGAGTTGTATACACATAGCCATAATTTTAGAACATTTTCGTTACTACAAAAAGGAATCCTGGTCCGCTTAACCATCACTCTCCAATTCTTCATCCCCTGCCCTAGGTAACTGCTAGTCTACCTTCTATCTCTATAAATTTGCCTATTCTGGACATTGCATATAAATGGAATCATACAATATGTTGTCTCTTATAACTGGCTTCTTTACTTAGCAGAATGTTTCCAGACGGATCTTTGTTGTAACATGTATCAGTACTTCATTTCTTTTTATGGCTGAATGTTTTATTTCCTTTATCCATTTATTGATGGATATTTAGGTGCCTTCCAGTTTTCAGTTATTAATAATGCTGCTGTAAACATTTATGTACAAGTTTTTGTGTAAAAAAAATGTTTTCATTTCTCTTATATACATACATAGGAGTGGAATGGCCAAGCTATATGTTAACTCTGTGTTGAACCTTTTGACAAACTGCCAGACTCTTTGTATGTGGCTGCAGCATTTTACATTCCCATCAGCAATGTATGAGGGTTCCAGTTTCTCCACATCCTCCCCAGTCGTTGTAGTTATCTGTCTTTTGATCGTAGCCATCCTAGTGATAACTCGTCGTGGTTTTGACTTGTGTCTCCCTGATGACTAACAATGTTGAGCATCTTTGTATGTGCTCGTTGGCCACTTGTATATATTTTTTTGAGAAATACCTAGCAGATCCATTGCTCATTTTTCAGTTGGGCTATTTGTCTTTTTATTGAGTGGTGAGGATTCTTTATATATTCTAGATACAAATTTCTTAGCAGATTGCATGATTTGCAAAATATTTTTCCCATTAAGTGGGTTATCTTTTAACTTGCTTGTTCCCTTTGAAGCACAGAAGTCTTCAAATTTGGTGAAACCTAATTTATTTTTTCTTTTGTTGCTTGTGCTTTTGATATCATATCCAAGAAATCCGTGCCGAATGCAAGATCATGAAAGTTTACTCCTAAAAATTTTATAGTTCTAGCTGTCATATTTAGGTCTTTGATGCATTTTGAGTTAATTTTTGTGTATGGTGTTCTTTTATTTTTTAAGTGCTGTGATCTTGGCTACCATGCAAGTCTGAACAGAGCCCTGAGAACGTATCTCTCTGCAGAGTATAACCTTGAAACCTCCAGACACGAAGGCTTAGACATTATTGAGAATGCAGTTGACAATTTGGAGCCCAGGAGTGATAAGCAGAGGTTCATGGAGATGTACCCTGCTGCATTCTGTCCGCCAATGAAGTTTGAGTTTCAGTCTCACATGGGTGATGAGGTCAGTAACTGATTATTTTAAAACTCCTGGATTGTCTTCTTCACATACGTTACTCTCCACCTGTTGTACCCAGCACTTGTAAGAATTCCCAGTCGTTTTCTCACTCCTGCCTTTGCATGAGATCTTAGCATAATACTCTGCTAAGACCAGCCACTAGCACCTTTTAAAGCAAGAGTCAAACACCCCAGTGCCTCTAGAGGCCAAAGAGACAGAGGTGCAAACTCTCTTGAGTGTAAGCATTAAACTGTTGCAGGGTGGTGTAAGAGTTCTTCCTCTACATCAAGACATTCAAATTTAAGTTCAAGACAAAACATTTTGCTGGCCCAGTAGAATCTATCAGAAAACTTTTTATCATCCTGATTGAAAGATCCTCATAAAGAAAAATGATTATAAATGGCAGGAAAACGGAAGAGAGGAGAAAAGATACACAGCATTTTTTTAAGACTCAAGTTCTCTCTAGATTGGTAAAATGAACATTAGAAATGATGTGTTACATCTGAGGTTCCTTATATATGGGAATTTAGCTTTCTGTCCTGTTTTTTCCAAGGGAAAAAAATGCATTTAAACCATTTATGAGCTTCAGTGGTATATTTATTGTCTGTGAACAGGCAAAGACAAGAAGAACCAATTAGTGGAGCACGCTGCATAGCACTTGTGTCCCAGCTGTGCAAAACAGCACCCAGAGATTTAAAACTCAATTTTAGCTTATTGTGGTGACATTATGTTTTTTAAAATACATGTGATTATAATTTCCATGGCAGATTTCTGTGATGTTG